CTACCCCCGGTCTCTTGCGTAGAAACATAGAGAATCATCGTAATCCCGATATTAAATTGATGATTTCATAATTTCCAAGAATTAATAATAAGTGGAATGACGATAATTCGAACAAAGATTACGAGCTCCTAATAATAATGGATGGAAGAATAAATTAATATTAGAAATTTTAAATTAATGAAATATATTTTAAATTAATGAAATATATTCAAAATATTTCTTAATCTATGCAATTGAATTCAATATATTGTTCATATATCAAGAGGTATCATATCCGAAATTTGTTTTTTAATTTAATTCGAATCCTGAATCCAAAAATCTCCCAAATAATCTATTTAATAATATTCTTCATATTCCTATTTCAAATTCTTCTAAATCCTTAATAATCCTTCTAAATCCTTTAAAACCCCTTCTAAATCCTTCCATAATCTTCTAAATTCATCTAAATATCAGGAAATCCTTGAAGAATTTTTCTAAAACCTTTAAAATCCATCTAATCCCTTCAAAATATTTTATAATCCCTTCTAAACCCCTCGATTCCTTCTAAATCCTTTCAAAACCCTCCAAAAATATTCTACAAAACCCTTCAAATCCCTTCGACATTCTCCTCAAATTATTCTAAGCCTACGAAACCTTCGACACCCTTCTGAACCCAAAAACTCTAAACTATTCTAAACCCTTCGAACCCATTTTTCCACCATTCTAAACCTTTCTAAGTCGACATCCTTCCAAGCCTTTCTACACCCTTCTAAACCCTACGCAACCCTGCTAAACTCTTAAGAACACTTCTAAAGCCTTCTAAAACCCCTTCGAAACCCTTCTAAACAATCTAGTGCCAAAACATAAGTGTTTTCGCTAGTGCTTTTTGAGGCTTTTCGGCAAGGATGTTGAAGTAAATTGAATACATGGACCAACGAGTTTGAGTAAATTGACGACTTCTTACGAAAATTAAGTGAAACATGTGAATTTTCGCTAGTACCATTTGAGGCTTTTCGCAAAGAGGTTCAAGCAAATTGAAAATCTGGACCAAAGAGTTTTACATCAATCGAGACTTCTTACGAAATATAGCTGAACCTCTTTATTTTGCGTTTCCTCAGTTCTTTGAGCATGCTCTAGTCTTCATGTCTTAAGTGAGGCAACCCCGAAATCTTTCGTTGTACCAAAAGTTCTGCGCTGGCGCATGAGGGCGAAGCCCCTAAAATTTAGAGTTTAAGGTCTAGGGTTTAGGATTGAATTCTCTGGTTTTGCTGTTTGAGGGCTTACTTGGGGTTTAAGATTTGTAGATTTGCCTGGCGGTCATTTACAAGGCACTGAAAGCGGGTCATACACCTTAACCTACCAGCACCCAATTTCGGCCCTAGACCCTTGAGGTCTCCGAAACCTGTGCCTTAAACCGCTGAAAACCCTAAACCCAAGGCCCTTAACGCGAAAGCCAAAAAAAACCTTCTCTGACCTGCAACTCCTCGACACTGCGCACCGTGGTGCGGATGGGTCAGGGCTTTGGGACTCTAAGGCTGAGGCTTAGGTGTGTATGTGGGTTAAAAGTTAAGTTAAGGGCTTATGATTCTGAATGGGGCTGTTCACTGGAATGGGTGGTATGGAAAGGCACAGGTAGGGGCCTTTGCCCCACTGCAAAGTATCAGAAGCGAGACTTTAGCTCAGCCTTCTGTCATGCTCAGCAAGTGTTGTATACATGGCTGATTCATTGCCTTCTCGATCTCCTGCCTCGAGAAAGGCTCAGGAAAAGGATTCATCCCTTCCCCCAGCAACACGCCTCCACTGGCTCCTGGTGCCATTGCAAGAAGTGGGGCGATTTTCTTGCTAGGGATCCAGGCAACACAAACCAGAATCCAAATACAAGATCCCGGATTTCCAGCGCTAGGCTGCTGCCTCCCAGTTCGGCATGTGTCAAATGAACGACCGATCGAGAAGTTGCCACTACAGCTTGCGAGGACAATGTCAGTCAGACTATGTTATACCCAAGACAGGCAGCATACTCTGGTGCTGCTACGGTATCGGCGCTTGACACGCTATCCGCTCGGGAGTGCTAAAATCCATCTCTGTACACACGTCCTGGAGCTGGGACACAGAGCACAATTGTAGAACGCAAAGTCCTGTGAACCCCACTAAGCTTGGTGATGTCTATGACGAATGCACTGACCAATCCCCTTGGAACCGAATCGGATTGAATCAGACTGAGTCAGTTGTCATCTTGTCTATGTCTCGCATTGCTCTGATTCACAGCTCAAGCGTCACCAGGGACCCAAACGGTAGCATGTTGAGGGTGGCGCTTCCTGTGACGGGCCCACCCGAAATTTCATGCGCCAGATCGGCAGTTCGGCCGGCACCTGACAAGGCCATGCGAAGGAAGTCCGGCACCTGCATCTCTTCGGCCAAGGTCAGCGCCGTCTTATTTCGGGTGTTCCGGATCTCGAGGTCCGCCCTGGCCACAATCAGGAAAGCTGCAACATCGAAGAGCCCGGCCACGATGCTGACCATCAGGGGCGTAGCACCCCAGCTGTTCACGGATATCCATGTGAAGGTTGTTGGCCGCCAACGGTGCTTCAGCCGCATCGCCGCATTCACCATCCACAAGGTCGAGCGAGCCTTCGGACAAAAGCGCTCGTTGATGTCGGCCCGGGCCTGCAGCAATGTGGCCGCGGACTCCACGCTGGCATTCTGCGTAGCCATCATGAGGTACAGCATCAGATTCAAGGGCTGCGGCGCCTCCAGCAGGACCTTCATGCTCTGCACGCACCCCATCGTACAGGCAGTGGCAAATGGTGTGAGGCTCAGACAGGATCTCGCAGTTTTCAAACTTAGATCTGCGCCCTCGGCGCACAGCATCCGCACAGCTTCTGCGTTGTTGGCTCCACAGGCTGCGTGCAGGGGGCGTGACTTGATCGCATCCTTGGCATCGACACCGGCCCGCCGTGCGATCAGAACTCTCAGGCACTCGTTGTGACCGTTGAATGCACAGACTGCCAACAGGGAGGTGTTCCGGCTGATGCCCAACTTCGGGCATGTCTTGCAGACCCTGTCGTTCGGGTCTGCTCGATGTCTCAATAGAGACTCCAGGAGCAGCGGATCCCCGCGCACGGCCGCGTAGCATATGGGCGAGAAGCCCCCCACGTCACGCTCAGCTATATGGCTGAAGCCCATCTGGTACAGGAAGCTGGCGAGCTTCGGTTCCTTGGAGACCTCTGCTTTGAGCAGTGATGGATGTGATGCATCAAACTCATCACATCCGATCAGGAAACCATCGAAGACCTGAATGGGAAGATTGCGGAAGATCCGGAATTGCTCGTTCAGAAGGAAACGGTAGCTGACCAAGTCGCCTTTCCTTAGACAGTATAGCAACTTCTGCTTCACCAGTTCTCGAACAATTCCGGCAACCTTCTCACGGTCGCTCTCGAAGCTGAAAACCCCCCCGCCGGGTGAGTTCTTCTCCAACGTGGTCACCAGCGCAACGTGCCTTAGAACTGTCTGCTACAAAGCTGCTTAAAACCTGTTCGGAGGGATACTTGTTCGTTTGGCCTTGCTGCCTGGAGCTCTCCACCCGGATCATGAGGTTGTCGTGTGCCGGGCACAATTCACGGGCAAGACTCTCCGTGCGGCACCATGCCCTTTGCCGCCAGCTCTTGTAGTTCAAGATCCGATCCTCGTGGTCTGGAGTGATAAGGCTGTGCGGATCAAGACACAGGTCATGGCGATGATGCGACTACTGCGCGACCTACTGCCAGAAACAGCCGTGCAAGTGCAAGACTCATGATGTAATAGCGGCTATGGATCCTTTGCAAGCTCATTCAGGACTAATCCGCCTCACTTGCCGCATTACCGCCTTGTTCAACAAGCTGCGAATGAGCCGTTGCTCCCCGAGAGAAAGAGGAAGGAAAAGGAACTAGCAAGCCTAGTTGTTGTCGCGTCTTGGCTCTAAAATCTATCGTCTCGGCTTTCAGACTTGCGGACATGAAACGACGAACCCCCGAACCCTGAACACCTCCCCAGGTTGGGCAGGGTTGGATTCTTGCTCTTTGGCCCCTGCTGTCAGGAGATCTCCAGGGTGTAGGGTTAAGGGCTTGAGGTTGAGGGATTCGTTTCCGACATCCGAACTTCCTCCTCGCCCGCCCTGACCGAGGGTGACAGGATGACGAAGAGCTCGCAGCGCTGCACGTACATTGGGATGCTGTCGATGGCCAGCTGGAGACCTTCTCTAAGGCGTAGTGGGGGGTTCTATGGAGAATATGTTCGTAGGAATGAGATACCTGGCAGAGGCAATGGAATCAGATGCGGAAACCTCAAAGAGGAGGCTGCTTGTACATGGGTACTTGGATGCCAGTAGTTGGATGCCAAAAAGAACACCCGGAAAAGGGCACTACGACGAAGACCTTCAATTTTTTGGGGGGCGATCCTGAATTATTCGGGAGGCCTGCTGGAGTTCGGGAGAGGTCCGGTGTCGCACCGTGCTGGGGGCAGGAGAAGAAATCGTACCAAAGGAAGAGCGGCTTCTCCTAGGTGCCAGGTCTGAAGCAAAGATAAGAGGATGCTTCTGATGAGCTCTCTAAGAATATAGAAGAAAAGAAACCCAAACCACAAAAAGAAAAAAGATGTTCGAAGACACATCCTGAACCCTAAACCCACCAAGTCTCGATGATGTCGGCGTTTGAGTAGCCATGGGGATGTCCGAAGAGCACTTCAGTGGTGACGTCGATGGAGACGCTGCTTACACCTCCGACTCCGCTCATAGGGATTCCTAGTATACAGGGTTCAAAAGGCTTAGAGTAGGGTCTATAGGACATGGTGCTCTGGGCCTTTTGGCGCATTGATTCATCCAGTATTCATCCCTTGGCATGGTAACACCCACCTGTGACCAGATTCTGCAGCGCTTCCTGGAGAACCCTCGTCTGCTTGAACTCAGGATCGGGATGGTCTTGTCCCAGCCACTGGTGCGACACGAAAATGGCGCGTCCCATCTCGGGCTCAAACGTCACCAGGATCCCCTGCCGAGGGATCTATCCGGTTGAAAGCAAGGCCTGATAGTTGCGCTGGGTTGCTACGAAGCCTGAACAGGAGTTTCGATGATAAGAAGGAGGGCACCTATGCTAGATTCCGCCTCGGCCAATAACGTCTCATGGGGCTCGATGCAGGTCATGGACATGAAGCTCGACAAAGGCACCTCGTAGGCAAAGCAAGAACAGAGACTAAGGATGACGAGACTATGGTAGTCACAGGCAACCTAAAGATGATGGCCACTTCGCAGAAGGGTCCGAATCTCATCCAAAGCGCCGTGTACATGGGAAATAGAGGGTCCGCTTCATCTGGCCCCACCCGCCGCAGTTCCTGCACGAAGTTCTCCAGCGCAGACGGCATGGAAGGCAGGCTCACCGCCCACTTCGTTGAGTGTTGAACTTGGGCCGGTGCTGAAAAATGCGGTCTGTGGCCCGTTCATCCCAAGTATGCCCTCCCAGGCCCATATTCCAAGCTGGAGACATAACATGTGCCGTGATACGACGCTGGAACTCCTAACAACGGCACTGGACTACAACGGATCAGGCTAATGGTTTCAATAGCGACTACTATGGATTTGCTTGCTACATACTTCTTCTTTGCCGCTAGTACAATTACAGACCCCCACAACAGAAATAATCGAACTGCAGATTCTTCAGCGACCTCGGGTAAGTAGGTGGTGCAAATGCGTCCTCTCATTGTTTTCGATGGATTGATGGAGTTCGAGGCATACCCCAAACCCCTAAACCTCAAGCCCTAACCCCACAACCCTCAATCCCAAACATCCCCGAACCCGAAGGCCCTGCAAAAAAAAGCTCACGCCCCGTAGCGGCGTGGAAGGTCCGTCGTTTCTTGAAGGACTCTATAGACCCGTAGAGGTTCCATGAAGGTCTCTACGAAGTTTCCGATAATGACTCCAAACGGATTCTCTAAATAAGGGTCCCGCTCTGGATACCCCAGAATGGTGCTTATTGAAATCGGGACCCGACCAGGGACCCTCGAAAGACCCTAATGTAGAGAGCTCCCCATACTATCGCTCTTTAGGGCTTGACCCTGGGGGTTGAAGGATTTAGGGTTTGAGGCTTTTTCACCCTTTGGTGGGTTTAGCGTTTAGGGTTTCGGCTTCAGTGTTTGGGGTTTAGGGTCGTCTAGGGTTTAGGGTGCCTGGGGTTGAAAGTTTCGGAGTTCAGATATCTTTTCGTCGCTCGACGAGAAATAGAGAAGTAAAGATTTTGCAAACTCTAGCATAATATAATTTTGAAAATCTTGGATCTTAGAACAAGTATCTTCTCAGTGGGCGAAAAGAAAACGGAAACCTTATCACTTCATGCACCAAGCTAAGTACCCTCTCATATGAAATTAAAAGAATCCCCCAAAATAACAACGTAAACGAAATCTATTGGCGAAATCCCAATAGTTTTGAATTTCGATTTGCCATGAGAATTAGAGGTGGCAATTCAAATTCATCCTATTTAGTAGTACGTATTTTGTGTGGTCCAGTTGGGCTAGAAATGTTCTTGTAATTGTGTTGTTGTATGTTGCGACCCATCGGAAATTGGGGGTAACGCACGCCGCCGTGCCTCGGGTTCCTGAGTCTTCTTCGCATCCATTATATTACCGATTCAGTTTCCTATTCAATTTGACATCCATATGAGATAGCCACGACCCTGCATGACGTTTACATTCTTCCGAGCTGGGCACTTTTTCATTTAAGCAACAAGGGCATGATGCTCTCCCAGCCTCAGATGCATCTCAAATCTCATCGCGAAGCACATGCCAATCCAATCCACGTCTTCGGCCCGAATGCAAACAAGTTGCTGCCGCCGAGCGGAAATTGCACGAAAGGCAGCTTCGCCTCCGAGCACAGCATTCAAGAGCATCGCCCTGACGGGTGTCATAACGGGCGTCAACAAGGCAGCAAAGTTGTTGAGGCAGAAGATTTATGGTGATGGTCAGGCAAGGGCCGCAGAGAGCTGGTCCATGAACTTTTGGTTGAGCGATGGTTCCTGCAGAAGGAATTACGGACTTAGAGAACCTTAACAGCGCAACTGTCGATGCCATCTGCCCTGAGCTGAAAGATCAAGGATCTGAAGAGCCTTCTTCTCATGCCCCAGGGTGAAGTCATCAACCAAAAGGGTCTGCGATGTGAAGTGGCATACCTTCCCAGGCAAACAGCAGCTCCACAACACAACGACCAACACTTCCCACAGCTGAAACACCCTTAGATACCCCTAGCCAACTACAAGAAGCAGGATCAGGCAGCGCTTGCCTTCGACTGAGGTCGATCTACAACGATCAGGTCGTCATAGTCGAAATCATTCAGCTCAAGCCACGTCTGCGTCACATTGAAGGCGTCCTGGCGGCCCACATGCCACCTACAAGTTCAGCCCTCAACCCGTGTGCAACTCTGTGAAATTTTGTCGCATACTGCAAGCTGATGCCATGCTCCCCTTTGGTGAATGACAAGTCCTCGTACGTCCCACGGGCTGTGAGAAAGCGGATGAAGTACCGCTCGCGTAGCCTTCCGTGTGCAACACATAGGCTGACTGCTGGTTCCGACAGCTTTTGAAGCTAAGCCGCTTGAGTGACAAAACACAAAATTTCTACGGCAAAAAACGGAAACTGTTCCCGATGGGCCTAAAAACGACGAGATGCTCGATTTACTTGAGCCATTTGCTTGATGACACAACCATTGCAAAAAGATCGCGTTTGTTCGGCAAGGAAGCTGGCACTTCACGAAGCAAAAGCTCCACATGCCGGGCGATTGAATAAATTGAACAAAAGGCTTTTGAAGGTCCGGCCCAGGAGTGTGTTAAGAAATTTTATTAATTAAGAAATCTGGACCTGGACCGGCCACACATTTTAAAATCCAGGGCCTCGCGGGCTCGCCCAAAAAAATTCCGCCGAGGAAGTATTAAGTAACGTTCTCTGTCATATTTACCAAGAACCCAAGAAACTGCAAGCCTCAAACCCTCTAATCCCAGGGCTCAGGGCTCAGTGCTCAGGGCTCAGGGCGCAGGGGCTTAGGGCTTAGGGCGGAAGAGGCCCGGCACAAAAAGTCACCTTTTTTGAGGTGTTTCAGGCCGGAAAGGCCCAAATAAGGTGACTTTTTGTGCCGGGCTCTGCCGGGCTCTTGCGGGGAAGCCTTTAAGGGCTCAGGGCTCAGGGCTCAGGGCTCAGGCTCAGGGCTCAGGGCTCAGGGCTCAGCGCTCAGGGCTCAGGGCTCAAAAAGAGCTTTTTTCTTTGGCCAATGTTGGTTGAAATGTTTCATGTATTCAAGGGCCACATGGTGTAGTGGTATCACATGCGCTTCGCATGCGGAAGGCCCTGGGTTCAATCCCCAGTGTGTCCATTTCTCAGACAGACAAAAGCTTAGGGCGGAAGGCATAAAAAGTCACCTTTTTGAGGTGTTTCAGGCCGGAAAGGCCCAAAAAAGGTGTGACTTTTTGTGCCGGGCTCTGCCGGGCTCTTGCGGGGAAGCCTTTAAGGGCTCAGGGCTCAGGGGGCTCAGGGCTTAGGGCTTAGGGCGGCAGAGGCCCGGCACAAAAAGTCACTTTTTTGAGGTGTTTCAGGCCGGAAAGGCCCAAATAAGGTGACTTTTTGTGCCGGGCCTTTTCCCCGCGTTTAGGGTTTAGGGTTTAGGGTGTAGGGTTTAGGGTTTAGGGTTTAGGGTTTAGGGTTTAGGGTTTAGAGCTTAGAGCACACCGAAAAGCTCTACACTGGTGAGTTACATGTTCCCCAACTCTGTCCCTATACTCACCTCTAATCAACCCTCGAATAAGAAATATATTTCAGGGTCTGGTTCAAACCTAACTTTCTTATTTCCATTTGGGGTTTTAAGAAATTTCGAAACCCTGGCTGAAAAAGGCAGATTTCTTATTAGAAGCCTCAGCCGTCCCCCGCCCCAAAACAGCCAGAATCCACAAAGGTAAAACTGCAAAATTCAGCCGAAGCACCAACAAGCTTCAAACAAATCAGCGGCAAACATGGCATCAAGCCTGTTGCGAAACTTCATGCCAAAACACAAGGCCACTTGCCTTCGAAGCGCATCGGCTGCACCAGGAACTGGGAGATCCTTAATGACCTTAATCTCAAACAACCGGTGCAACTCAAAACCTGAAGCTCTGAAAAGACACCGTGCCAAGAGCAAAGTCTATAGCATTTTTGCTTCCCGCCTCGCTGGCCATGTAGGCTCTCTTGTCTCCCTTCCACCGCCTGGAGAAATTGGGCCAGGCTGCTGATTCAGGCAGTTTGCCGTGCACTTTGGTCAGTCGGATTGCTTATGTAAGCAGAGAGGTTAGCTGCATGACATACAGTATGTGCAATAGGTTCAGATAGGTTCAGATACTGTGAAGCCTGAGTACCCAGACCTGGCCTTACGCGCTCCATGGACAGGGACACCACCTTTTGTGTCCAAAGCGCTCGCACGTGCCAACAGCTGTGCTTGTCAATATGAACGACAGAGCAAAGATCAAGGGATGGAAGTCGAGGGCCCTGAGGGCCAGGCATTATCAATATCAACAAACAAGTGCTTGCGTTCAGATCGATACCTCGATGACTGCAGCTGATGACGACACCCTTCTCTGCAGGCATTGGGACTTAGGGACTTCAGGAAGGTGCCGGTCGATCACCGCCAAGATCATGAACTCCGTCCTTACTGGGATGCTTCAGGCTAATTAGCAGCGACTGGCGATGGCAAGCATCGATGGCAACCCAGGACCTAGTTCCCTCGGTCGAACATTTTCACATGCTCCTGCAAAGAGACGGAATGACAAACGCAGCGTCTGGACCTTGGCCCTGCACCATTCGCGCCGCACCTCCAGATACCTGCCAAACAGGCTGTTTTGCGGACTTGAAACAACATGCGATGACAACGGGCGAAAGCTCTCAAAAGCAACTCGACACAAACAGGTCAGAAGGTACGCTGTCCGGTAGCCTGTGCGGTGTCTGGGGTTTGTGCTTCTAAGCTATTAAGCCAGACCGCAGGGGGCAGAAGACTGCATTTCGCAGCAGTAGGGTGGCTTCGATCTGTACTAGGAACTGTGCCTGATGTATGCTTGAACTCTGCGTAGGTCTTGTGCCAGGACGCTGGTGCCGGTCTGGGCCAAACGGGGGTACGCACGCATTCTTAATTGGCAGCAGCCTGCATGGCTGATTCCTTGTGCCGGCGTGCATGCCGGTATACGCCGACACCGGGCAGATGAGCTGCGTGGCCGTGCGAAGACTCAGGCAAGCACGGATTGATATCGCTCGTGGGGGAGACCTCGACACCAGCGAAATCAGCATGCAGGCTACTAGGCCCCCCCCCCGCGGACAAGACCTCAAGAGTGTACGGCATGGTCTTCACGTCCGCATCCTCCTCCTCCCATATGAAATCGACACCTGCAAAGATGAATCTGTGGATGTCTGCGGAATTTCGAATCCATGCAGCCCGTACCAAGTATAGATGCCTCGTACCGTGTCTGTGTGCGTGCTTGTGCTCCTCCCTTTACCGAAGATTCCAGTCACCATTATCTATTTCCAGACCCTCTGCGGCTCTGTCCAAACATCCAAACAGGCCGCAACGGCCGGAAGCAGTTCATGAGTGCGGTCGGGTATGTCCGATCATCGGATATCAGACGTGTAGGCCAACGCAATGTAATGATAGGATCCCTCTCATGACCCCACCCCCCAGCAAGGATTTGTTCTCGCACTGGGTTCTCAACACAAGTTTGCCGAAGAAGGGTCCCAGCAATTAAAACTGGGAGGGAGGCCGGGGTCTCTTCTGGCTCTTCGGTTCTTCTGGGCATCTTCCAAATCTTGTTGTGATATTAAGAGGTCTAAGGAGCAACTGATGGCTTAAGCGATGCTTTGAGCCGGCTCTGCTCATCAGGAGTTCTGAGTTTGAAGCTTTGTAAAGGAAGCAAAGTGCTTGTGATGCCGTGCCGTGCAGCCAAATTTTGAGGTGGTTTCTTCGCGACACGTCGACCAGTTGCAAGGCACTCATACTGTCCGTGCTGGATTGAGAAGAGCTCGCAGCAAGACAGGATATCAGGCTCTGGAAGGCCGAACGAAACGGAGATCGTTCATGACAGGATATTCCCACCCGCTTTGTGAAAGGCATGGGAAGCACGCGCGACGTGCCGGACTGCTATCCTGCGGCTGCTGTTCGGGATGCTGTAAAGCCTTGGTCCTTAAACACCAGGTCTCGGTGCAAGGCCCCCGTGTCCAAGCCTGCTCTGCACAGGCGTACAGCCCCATCCTGAGAGCCAATGGATACGGCCCCTGTACGGCTCGAAGGCCGTTCTATGGGGCGGGGGGGGGGGGGGGGTGTAGGTACTGCATCGGATTGCGTCTTGCTTTCTTTGGTTGGTTCCAATTATTGTTTCCGGCTGCCAGTTGTGTGCTACGGCCCTCAGCATGACTGGCGCAGTGACTCCCTGCTAGAATCTGTCAGACTCGTTTTGCTTGAATACCTGTTTGGCTGGCGAAGCGCCGGCAGGGATGTGCTATTTGGAGTCTGGAGTCTGGAGAGAGTGCACTGAAGAATTGCTTGGTCATGTCAGGTTTATGACAAGTGCCGCGAGCCCGAGCACACAGCTCTGCAGAGTGACGGTTTTTCCACAGAGCACACGTATTTAAGGCTTTGTTGCGTGTGCGCGATGGAAGCCCTGTGACCAAAGGCTACCGGATCTAAGCCCGACTATCAGAGACTGGACTAAACTGACTAAATCAGTTGCCAGCGACATCTCTCTCCACTCCAGCGGCACGCCTCCCACCGGTATTCCAGTCCTTGGATTAGTTCTTTGGCGATTTGGTTGAAGGAGTCTGCAATGATAGCTCAAGGTAAGCATGCCAGATTTAACGAGTCGTCGGCCCAACAGTTATGGCCCAGTGTGACTATGGCGTTGCTTACACGCATCTTGCGTACCTGCTGCTTGCTCTCTTGCAACCGAGCCGCCTATTGGCAAACTCTGCCACATAGGGCGCGATAGCTTCCCTCAGCGCAACAATGTGCAACTTACTTCGTCTTCAACTGTGTCACCATGTCCACACACCATGACAGAGCATTCCTTTCCCCGCAGGGTCCCTGCAGAGGGAAGTCGAAATCCTGGAATCCTCCGAGATTGCTAGCCTGGCAACCAACAGATTTACCTTCAAGGCAACTCTGTTGCGCAGCAGCAGCAGCAGCAGCAGCAGCAACTGTGCTAAAAACAAGCCAGCCAGGCCGCAGAGGCTGAATTGAGGCTTTTCCTGCAGCGATAGGTCCAACATCGCCAAAGTGTCTCGGCCGAGCCGTCAAGCCGCTATCCGCTGCGGAGCACGCGACGCAGACATACGCATACAAATCCACATAAAGCACTCGCCCCAAGTTGCTGCAATCGTGCCTTATCCGCCAGTAGCCGTGGAAAGGGCGCCCGTCCACGTAGGTGACCCGCGCCTCTTTCAGCGCAACCACCTGACAGCCGGTCGGGTGCAGCACGAGCTTGGATAAGTTTTGGGATCTGTTTGAAATATAATAAGACTTCTCAGAAATCTGAACTCCTACATATATGACAGGGTGAGTTGGAAACGAGAAAGCTGTCGTACCGACAGATCGAAGGGGACTGCTTCAGTTTTGTGAAAGCACTTTGGTCATGCGGAACCCTCAGATTCACACTGTTGCATCTTGCTTGCATTCTTCCTTTCATCGTGCGACCAACCAGCTCCTTGTCTTGCCTGCCCTGCTTTCAGGCACAAGCTGAAGCCCCGACCTTGCTCTGCACGATAGCCTCCACATCAGGCAGCGCCTTGGAGAAGTAGAGCTCCATCTTCTGGCGTGAGGCACGGCAGTGGAGAACATATAGATATTGATAGTACACTTCGTTTTTTTTAACTCTCAACACTCAACTGCCATCTGCAATTTCCTAGGGTCCTAAAGGAGTATAGCCAGCGTCAGCCGACATATTGAGCCTCCATGAATTCATCTTTGCCAGCTGCCTGGAGCAAGCCGAGACCTTGCAGAGCCAGATTCGCGGCCCTTAGGCTCACTGCACAACAAGCGGAAGATGCCGAGGTGCTGGAGAAGCCGTAAGGGTCCTCAGAGATCCGCGCGAATTGGCCCTCATTTTCTGATCAGGCCATCTGACATGCCTTGCACAGCTGGTGCGGTCCTTGATGACTACAGGGAACTGGATCTTGTCCATCTCCTAGCTCAGACGGTCATAGGCGGCAGCTACGAGCTTCGAGGGAAGCAGAAATCGGCAAGGCATGGCCCAAGCATGGCAATGCCCACATAATTGCTGGGCGTCCGGGCCGACTTCGCCTCGTCCAAGCTCGTGATGACCCAAGTGGGGGGAATCTTCACCTGCGCTTTCATGGAACTCTCCTTGCTGTGCAAACTCATTTTTGTGGTGGCTAGCGCAATTTAGCAACCGTGCTGCTTGCCAGAAGGAGGGCCGCATCCACATGGGGAGTTTCCAAAACATTTCCGAAGGGCCCCGTTTTTCAACCAAATACCCGATAAGGACCCCGCAATCAAAAGGGGGCCCTCATTTTCGGAAACCTGCACATCACACCGACCTTGCGTTCGATGAAGAGGCGGGCCAGCCCCACCTTTTGATGCGAAGTGGCAATGCAACCGTACAATGAGACTCTGTCATACTCAGCTGCAGGCTTTGTTCTGATAGTACAGGTAAGATTCAGGTGGTGGATATAGAATACCACCTGACAGCTGTCTCAGAGTCTCTCATAATTTGCCCCATCTGAACATGCGCGCCGGCCGAGGGCTTTCAACCACGTGCAGGTTCTGCTTGTGCTACACCACCCCAACAGTGGAAAGACCTCGTCGCTCGAACTCTGCGTACCACTCCACTATTTGGTAGGGTAGCCTCCGCGCAGCCCATGTTTTCTTGTACCAGCTTCAAGGCAAAACAAGGCTGCAATTGCAGCTTGCGCATTCCGACTCCAAGCGGCCTCTTCTCATAGAGCTCACCCTCTTTCAAGGGAAGCTCAAACTCATGGTTGCCACCGACTCGCCAGACATACCTGTCCAAACTGGCCAGCTCAGATGCCAATTTTATGAGGACCAAGTCTGCTAAACACATGTCAAGCTGCAAATTCAAAGTCATGCTCGAAGCCTGCTCGCGAGACATGACTGGAAGCAGAAAGCTTTATTTAGCAATGTCTCCTGGCCCTGACAGTCGGAAGCCAGACCGCTACAGGAGTATGCTTCGTGGCGCCTCGAAAACGACAAACGAACCAGACCCACTTCCGAATCCACTCGTAATCCCAGATACCCTCCTATTCCTTCTTAATTAATGGCTTGCAGGGTAGCCCTAGCCAGTTCCAACCTGAGCCCCAATGACGTGTCAATCCCATAAAGAATTGAATAGGCAAATTCCCAATGCCCAATTTGATGCCAGCGAGAACACCGCTCAACGGCCACGAAGCAGACGATCAACCACAGAACTTCCGCTTGAAGCCTTGTATCTGGCACGGTCTCCTCAGCGGCATCAATGAGGTGTGGCCTGCAGCATTCCAAATTGCAAGCCAGGAACACAAGTTTACATCTTTCATCCGTGCCAGACGACTCTTCGACTTGTGATCCTGACTGTTTATTACTTGTCTTGTCTTCAGTGCCGAAGAAGAGATGCCGGAGGGCTGGAATACTTCGGCCTCGCGACCCCAGCTCGGGGAAAGGTTTGCAGGAAAAGCTCTCGAAAGATCTCCTGCAATCATTTGGGCGTTTTCCCAACGAGTCCAGATTCTTTTTGGGACTTATTTTTTTTAAGGATGTTTTACTGCTGTTGCTGCTGGCTGCACCGTAGCCCTTTAGTGTTCAGGGTTAAGCGTTTAGGGTTTAGAGTTTAGCGTTTAGGGATTAAGGTTTAGGGTGTAGCGTTTAGGGCTTAAGGTTTAACGGTTTAGGGTTTATATGGTCGCCCTAAACCCTAAAGCCCTAAAGCCAGTGGAAAAGTAGAAAGCAGGAGACGGAAAACAAACCCAAAAACAAACAAAGATCCTAAATTAAATTTCGGACTCCTTTTCCATCCATTCCATGGACCTTGCTGCGAAAGTTTGGGATGCTTTAATACGACATGTGCAGATGGAACTTTGACTGGGGTCCTGGTGCACGACGTGCTTCCCCCGATTGAACCTGCACGGCGCACAAGTGCCAACATTGAATGCAGCCAGCTGGCAGCTACTGGTAGCAACTGAACAACTGAGAAGGTGGCTCTATCCATCCAAACGGCGGAGCCATGGGAAACACCACTGCAACCTCTACCCAGCAGAAATCAACTCAAGACCGCTGCTGCGCTGCGAAATGCTGGGAGTGCTTCGAGCTGGAAGTGAGCAGCGGGCCATAGCACGAACCTTCTTGAGAGGCATGTTTCTCGGCCTCACAGTTGGGACAAATTTGTGCCACCTGCACTTCGGGCCTGGGACTTCACCGAAACAACTTCTCGGCCCGCGGCGTTGAGAAGCGAAGCATCGACTTGCACCACGGCCCCGCGGTGATCGTATGACCTGGAGCTACAAACACCTCCAAAGCTCCAACGCGGGTATTAATACACGTCCGAAAACGCCAAACCTGAGATTTAGAGGCGATAGATAAAGAGAGATCAGGAGTCGGAAGTACACAAATGCCAAAACATGCACGCAGCAAAGCTGGGATCGGAACGCCAGTGGCTGAAGGCCCCATCACCCTTCTCTGCGATGTCCGCATGGTTGCTGTGGGCTGGACCTCAACAGGAATATCCTTACTGCAAGACATCCACTAACCGTCACTAACCGCATCAGGCCGCACTGATTTCGGAAAGAAGCGCAACAGGGGTGCCATGGGTGCTGCACCCATGGGATGGAAGTACTCCTTCTCATCTACGTGGAAGAGCTGCAGCCTTGGCATTGCCCAAGGTTCTGCCCTCAGCAAACTTCGAGGATCCTGCAACGCCCCCCTGCCACATGTCCTGGGCTTGGCACGTGGAGCGTGTGGATCTCCAGCTCCCTGCTTCGTCCTTTGCGACGCGTGGCGCTTTTGCATGGAAGTTGCAGCACGCTGAAGCAGCATTATTGTGGGAGCCAGTGATGTTGAAGGCTTGAGCAATACTTACCCATCGCGACAGAGACTCAGCCGCATTCTTCTTGATTCTTCGACGCTCGAAGAAAATAAGCAATTTCTGCACATGTTTCCGCGGTCGGCTGGGCCGGAGCCGATCATTCTGGTGACGAAGCTAAGAATGTTGACGGCATTGTCTAAGGCACTCTAGGGCCTTGTCATGATCAGCCACGGTTGCTTGGATTAGCTTGGGGCCTGGTCCGTAGCAAGGCCACGCATTGCGCCGAAAGCGGCGGCTGCCACACTTTCGGGATTCTTGGCAGGAACTGCTGCTGCCGGTGGATAATTGGCCGCGCGAAACGTGGCCGCTGTATCGCCAACGGGCCCTTGTCACAGGTGTGACCGGCAATGACTCGGCGCCATTGGCGGCATTGGCCTTCACAGCTGACGTGAAACCGGTGAAGCCCTTGAAGGCTTGAAGGTCTGGTAAACCTGTGCTTGCTTGCCTTGTCATTCTGAACATGTCCATCTGCAATTTGGTACCTGGGACTACATGTCCGACAGCTTGTTGAGCGTCCTTGTTGGATGATCTTGTTGGAAAGCATCGAAAAGTCAACTTACAAAGTCACGTGGGAGTTGGATGCAACGATGAGGTTCACAGATCGGATAACGAAAATTCCAATTTCCAGCAACGGCAAGGACGTCTCAACTTCGTTTGCAGAGTGTCTGGTCTCGTCTTCCGCCATGCTCTCTCTTGCTGCAAACTAAATTTTGTGGCAGCATCCAACACGTTTCGACGGATGCCCCGAGCTTGCGACTGCTGTACATCCCTTCCCAGCCCCTGCAGCTTTCCTAGTCGCTTGTTCAAGCACTGGCGCGACAAACAATCGAGCTGGAATTGAAGCTGTAATGGAGAGCGGAATATTCGATGAAGCTGGCATTCAATCGAAGCTTCTCGTTCTTGTCGACCCTTGTTTAAGAATCAGGGCTGAGGTGCTGCGACAATGTAGCGAGGGAAGGGCATCTCATAGGCGAAGCCGGTCACCTTTTTGGCCTTGCCACGCGGGGCGCACTCTCTTAGCGGAATGGGTCCACAGCACTTGCAGTGTCCGTTTGACATGTGGACGGTTGCATGAGGATACGCTCTCTCTTTGGCCTCGAGCAGGTTGAGGTGGAACACAAGCGCCTAAGCGAAACTCATGGACTCATGGTTTCCTGATGTTTCATGCCTGGCGAACCAGGACATTGTGCGCGACATGTGTGATTCCTGCATATTGCCGCATTGCCAGTCACTAGGATGGTGACGTCTCCGCGTGTTTCACAGCTTTTGATGCCGCCGGCCTCCAGCTGAACAAGGGAGCTCTACCCTTTGCTGACAGGACCGAATTTTCATCGAAACCTTTCTCACATGTTCCTCGGACCCCGATATCCGATGCGCTTCCACTGCTTCAGTCATCTCTGATCTGTCCTGGGACGCCCTGCCGGCTTGAACCGGATCGTCTCCAAGTCCCTCTCGGGCACCTTTGGCAACAAGGAGTCAGCTGTTAGCAGTTTGTAGCGGCAGCGATCGTAGCAAAGTGCGAGAGTTCACCTCGGGGCGCGCCTGCCGCCAGCTGCTTTTTGCACCCGATGGCATGATGCACTCGGCAGAGAGTATTCGATACCTCTGGAAGTCTCTGGACCGTTATCGCTGATGGAGGGTCTCAGCATCTGTCTTCAACCTGCTTAGTTCCTACGCGATACTCAACGAGCAAATGTGACGTCACAAGAGCACCCATCCATCCATGAATGTAATGGCGTTGAGATCCATGCGAGGATCGGCTGCGAAGAGGAGGGGCCTTTTGCCTGTGCACAAAGCTTAGGATGGGGGAGGGGCGGCCCTGGATGAGGTACACCCATGCGACATTTCTGCCCTTCCCGAATTCCCGGAACAAACACTTGCAAGCCCGAGCCTTTGTCTCGCTGGAGTGGTCGCAGGCTCCCGAGACTCCTGAGACGGGAAATGTGTTCAGGGCAAATACATGTACCGATCACCAAAGCCAGGGGCCAAACACGCCAAACACCCTAAACACGCCAAATACGCCAACACCGCCCTACGAGCACAAGGCGTGCAACATGTTTTGCAGTACAAGCCGGCCCATGTGGTGTGCATTGGTGTTTTGGCTGCTCTCGATACTGGCCAGACCTGTCCTTGGAAGCTGGAAGAGAGCTTTTTGTGCTCTGCGACTGTGCCTTGCGGAGTTTCTTTTCGCGGCAACACACTTGCTTTACTTAGTCGGCGCTTTACTTTCTTGCCAGTACTATAAGACGAGCCTACTTAAGCAAATCATAACACATCACGGGCCAGCCTGATTGGCCAACAGGTGCTGAAGCGTCGGCGGGTCCTCTCTGCTACTACAGTCAAGCTGATGCAGAAGACTCGAAAGGGGTCACACGTCCCCGCTAAGCCAGCACGCGTTGGATGTTCGAAAACAATGGCAAGAATTCATTAAGTAGAATGAACTCGCCACCTGCTCAAGCTTCGTGCCCCAGATCCATGGCTTTCAGGGCTGCGAAAGTTGCAAGTACATGCGACAAACTCTAAACCCGCTGCTGAATGTGGGCTCGGTCCTGGTGACCTCAGCTTCGCAAAGTGCGGCTTCAGTTCTATATTGCTCAGCATGCAGATGTTCAAAGTGCTGTTGGGTCACAAAGCATAAAGGAACCAGTGCCCTGGTCCAGGAATCAGCCAAGGTGCTTGTCATGTGGTTGACGCCACGGAAGTTATGCAAAACGATACCTCATCCCAACAAGCAGTGGCTGCTCATTGCAGGGTCCCCGAACCGGCACACAGGACCCAGTCTTTAACGAGGTCCGGGCCCATGGAAACAAGGCTCAAGATGAGAGCAGTGCACTTGAAGGAGAACCTCCAGCTAAAATCAGTTTGGAGCTTCGGTTTCTCGCAGAGTCCATGCGAGTCCATGCAACCTTTGCCTCATGAACTCTGCAACAGCGATGGAACAGCAGTGCTTGCAGCGCCAAAAGAGGACATTGGCACAGGGACCAGGGATTCTGTATTCCGCTATCCTGCCAGCCTGTCCGACATGGGGTCTAAACACGAATTATAGCTCGACTGAAAGGAAACTGATCCTGTTCGAGCAGCAGCGCACATGCAGTCATGCGATCATGTTGCCCTAAAATGCTTCTGAAATATTCCGCCACGTCTGGAAGACTCACGAAGAAGCTACGGAATCTCGAGTGGGGAAGATGCGCGCGTTACCCTTCCTGGTCGCTGCAGCCCTGCTGCATGTCTGTTCCACAAGCCATGCGAGCTTTTTGGGCCGCTGCCGACACAGCATCTATGATGCTGATGACCTTGCTTGAGATCTGACGCCGTGGTGAAACGTCTTTGCATGGCACATGCCACCTCGATGCACCTACCAAATATTAAATAGTGACTGTTCCAAGCATGCGGGCTGCCGCAGTTTGATGCAGTTTGGGAGCCATTGGCGGTTTCAGGTCATATGTGTCGACACGGCTCCCTGTCTTTAGGTGAGTTTGGTTTGAACATCAGAACTGCGTGCATAGATGATTCCGGTTGAGTCAGCTCTTGTTCGGCTTCGCGTCCGAGGGCCCCCGAGGCGCCCTGTCTGCTGCGACGGAGTTCGGCTGCTGAAGGCGTTGATCTGGTTGTGCCCGGGGGGGGGGGGGGGGGACTGCCAAAGTTGACGCAGTGCAGTCACACGACGCCTCCATGAGGGATCTCGCTACTCCAAGAACACGCAGAAGGGTTTGGGGCTTGTTGGGTGATGGAATGTTGAAGATCCCTTGAGTTGTGAAGTCATGCTCCCGATTCCTCGGAAACGTTAGAAACTCCTCATCCCTGAACATCCCTAAACTCCACTCTGTGCTCTTATGGGGACTGAGGGGCTTTGGTGTTCGTGCCTCGTCTTTGCTCGCAGAGGCGACGGCGTCTCCACTGAATTCCTGGCGCACGGTGCCCGGGGCTGAGTGATTTCGGACTTGACAGGGTCTCGATTCGAGGTTGGGAGGGCAGAGCTCCACCAAGCTTAGGGCAACAGGATTGAGGATTGCAAGGGTCTTCGCCAAGAAAACGGGCTCAAAACAGGCGACTTCCGGCTACCGGCGAACTACTGTTCCGACCTTTTTTCGCTATTTTGCTAGGGGAAAGCCCTCGCACAAAAAAAAAAACCGGCCGAGGCGCAGCGGCAGGCAGATGTGGTCAGATCGCGGTGAGGCTGATCAGGGGCTTGGGCCACATTGGGGCGGGAAGCAAAGTGCAAGGGGATCTTGGCTTACCAAGCCAGCTAGAAAAAAACGCAGCTCGGCTTAGGGCTGGGTAGCTGCAGCCCATGCAGCCTCAGCAACGTGCGGCACGGCCCCACTCCTACCACGCACTGCGGCGCATCCGGGCTTTTTGCGAGCGCAGCGCCGGACGGCAGTCATTCGCTAAGCGAACAGTGTCCAGATGAGACAAACGAAGGGGCGATACTTTGTCCCTCCCCTACCGTGCGTTCTAGCTTTGCAACGCCTGACTCGTTCGAGCTACGGCGTCCCTATGTCCCTCCTCATAACTTCTCAGGATGCACCAACATCCGCTATGCTAGTGCTGTTTTGCAGCAGCCATCTGCAGCCCAAGGTTAAGTCACCAATAAAACGGAACAATTGCAAGAAATTGGCACCATTGCCAATGTGAGCGCGGGCGGATTCAGTTGGGCCCTTTGCTGCCTTTGCCGCCCTTGCCCCCTTTGCCGCCGCCTTTTCCACCACCTTTGCCTTTCCTGCGAGAGGAAAGCAGGGTTGGCAGCTCATGTGACGATGCCGCTACATCCGCAACATCCAGGATCGGAGGCTCCTCCGATAAGTCTGCCGCCCACCAGCTCACTGCCCACCAGCGCACTGCCCAACAGCGCACGGCCCACCAGCGCACTGCCCTGTCACCCCAGCGCCTCCGCAGGCTCCCCAGGCCCAGGCGCCGCCTCCGGCACATCCGGCACCCAAGGCGGCGGACACGAGCAAGCCACGCAAGCCCAGGTGGGTAGCTGCAGCCCACGCAGCCTCAGCAACGTGCGGCACGGCCCCACTCCTACCACGCACTGCGGCGAATCCGGGCTTTTTGCGAGCGCAGCGCCGGACGGCAGTCATTCGCTAAGCGAACAGTGTCCAGATGAGACAAGCGAAGGGGCGATGCTTTGTCCCTCCCCTCCGCGCGTTCTAGCTTTGCAACGCCTGACTCGTTCGAGCTACGGCGTCCCTATGTCCCTCCTCATAACTTCTCAGGATGCACCAACATCCGCTGTGCTAGTGCTGTTTTGCAGCAGCCATCTGCAGCCCAAGGTAAGTCACCAATAAAACGGAACAATTGCAAGAATCTGGCACCATTGCCAATGTGAGCGCGGGCGGATTCAGTGCCGCCATTTCTTGGACCCTTTGCCGCCTTTGCCGCCCTTGCCCCCTTTGCCGCCGCCTTTTCCACCACCTTTGCCTTTCCTGCGAGAGGAAAGAAGGGTTGGCAGCTCATGTGACGATGCCGCTACATCCGCAACATCCAGGATCGGAGGCTCCTCCGATAAGTCTGCCCACCTGGGCTTGCGTGGCTTGCTCGTGTCCGCCGCCTTGGGTGCCGGATGTGCCGGAGGCGGCGCCTGGGCCTGGGAGCCTGCGGAGGCACTGGGGTGACAGGGCAGTGCGCTGGTGGGCCGTGCGCTGTTGGGCCGTGCGCTGGTGGGCAGTGCGCTGGTGGGCAGTGAGCTGGTGGGCCGTGCGCTGTTGGGCAGTGCGCTGGTGGGCCGTGCGCTGTTGGGCCGTGCGCTGGTGGGCAGTGAGCTGTTGGGCAGTGAGCTGGTGGGCCAAGCGCTGGGCAGTGCGCCGGCGGTGGGCACTGGGCCGGTGGGGGGCTGTGCGTCAGTGGTGGGCAGTGCGCTGGCGGGGGTGGAGGCATTGGCACCTGTAACGTGTGAGTCCAGGGTGGAGTTGCAGGCTGGTTGGGCTGGAACTGGGGAGGGAGCTCAATTGGGAAGAACCAGGCAGGGGTTGCCGGCGCAGGCTGGTATCCAAGGCCGTGCCCCACGCCATAGCTCATTATTGGGGTAGCCACTGGGCAGGGTGCCCAGTGCCACTGCTGGAGGGGTCCCGGCGGCCACGGGGCACAAGGGTGAGCAACTTTTGCCCAATGATCTGCAGGAGGCGCTAGGCCCCCGCGGTACTGTGGCCCATAGACTTCTTGCTCGCCCACAAACGCGGGCGGCAACTGGAACACGGCATTGGACATTGCTCAACGTAGAGGAATGTGTTCCGTTTACCTTGAGCCAGAGCTCGACGAAGGACACACGATCTGAGCGCAGGCTGATGGCCCGAGAGCTGACAAGCTTCCCGCCACATGCTGGGTTTGTTTTTGGTTGGGGACTTCACGCTGCATCACCTTGGTCTAGGTATGCCTAGCTGAGACTCAATCAGTGTTTCCGATTCGGGCAGCTGGCAGCGCTTTGCTTCGTGTCTGGGATCCCCGACAAGACTGCTACATCGACTATCGTGTCGTACATGCTTGCGTGTGTGCGTGAGTGTCTGTCGCGCAACCCATGCGAGCTTTTTTGGGCGGATGCCGACACAGCATCTGTGATGCTGATGACCGGGAAGCTTCTTGCATGTTCCCATGGCAATTTGATGCATGCCGTGGTGAAACGTCTTGCATGTCCACGTGCCACCTTGAGGCGCTTACGAACTGTGGACTCTTCCAAGCATGCTTACAGGAAGTATTAGCAGCATCAAGTCATGCATCGAGACTGCTCCCTATCTTTCGCGGAACCTTGCAGCATGGCTGCTTAGGTGGCATGTGGGCTGCAGTGAAACTTCCTATGCTACACCAACGAGTCGAGACGAGCTATCCGACGCAGCAGACAGCGGCAACTTCGAGGACGTAAACACAGGTAGACCGGGTAGACTCATGGCCGAATGCCGGTGATCACCAGTAGCTGCATGAGCCGTCACGAAGTTGTGCTGCGCTGGGCATCACGGTGTCACAAGGACCTCGAGGAAGTCTTCACTCACGAAAAAACTAAGGCGAACCAAGGCGACGCAATCCTAAGACTGTTCTCAAAGCTCAAATGCAGATTCTCCGCCTTTGGTACACAGGCTCATTGCCTAAATGGCCTAAGCCCTGAACCCTAAACCACAGCCCCTCCGAACCCTAAACTTCCTAAACCCTAAGCCCTAAGCCCCCTCCAAGCCCAAACTTCCTAAACTTCTCAAACCCTTGAGAATCTAAGCCCCCAAATGAGCCGAGGTGCCCCAGCTGCTCTCGCACCTCGGCTTCCAGCCGCTGGTAGGCCGCCTCGGCCTTGAAACTCTGGGGCTTGAGGGTTTTGGGCGGGTTTTAGGGTTAGGGGCTTAGGGGCTTAATTAGGGGTTTTTGGATGTGTTTGGATGGGTTCAGAGCTCAGGGACCTCGGGCTCAAGGCCTTTTCGGAATCCACGGCATGGCCGCAATTGAAGACACAAGGTGCGTTGGCTGTCTCGTTGTGGAAAGTGCTGCAACACCGGCTTCTGTCGATAAGAACAAATATTGACTGACAGTTCCAGTGTACCCCCCCTGCCCCCCCCCCACATGGGAAATCTGTGTCAGGCTCCCATCGACTTCCTAGGTGTTGCAGTCTGAGCAGCTGCGTCTTCCTTGTCATTGTCCTCCGCCTTATCCTTGCCGGCCGATGGCTGTCAGGATACATACCGAGAGTTTCACTCACGGGGACCGAGGCGCATGAGCAAAAGACCTTTCATGACAATACTAGACAGGAAGTTACACAAGATCACATGGAGCCCCGGTGATCTCACACAACTTTGCATCACCTCTAGACTCTAGCTGACTCACAAGTGCGCACCCAACCAGCGCCCATGTCGTGTGCTGCCTGGCCTTCTCTTTCTCCCCGGCACCATCGGCTGCCATCTGAGCCTGCCCGTCAGGCACCGTCTCTCCCCATCAACAGTGTGTCCACATTAATTATGGGATTCCAACCTTCAGGGTAAGGAGGAGGGTTGAGGTGGCACGCTCTGACGAAAAATGCGCAAACCTACTACTACATGAAACGTGCTTTTACACAGAGCTTACGTCACGCTGTCGAGACGAAAAACCATGGAACAACCTTTACAAGCTGCGAGTGGACACTTGCAAGGGGGTCTATGCTGGCACAACTGTTTAGCACACGTTACATAAAACTTGGGATATTGTCCGCTTGGCTTTCATGTCATGTCTGCAATTATGATGGTTCCACCTGCTTCTCCATGAGGTCTTTCAGGTCTCTCAGCTCCTGCTGCCGCTCCTGTTCGGCAGGAAACGTCCCGAGGCTCAGGAGGACATGGCGAACAAGATCTCCAACCAGCAATCTCTTTAAGCTGCAACGCCGGCCTGGAAGTATTTAACGCCTCGGGAAAGCACAACATGACAGGCGTGGCACAGAAACGAGCACATGCCATGCACTCTGTTTGGGTCATGATCCAGAGTCCAGATCCTTCCAGGTGGTTGATGCGGTGCTTTTCCGACAGGCTTGAAACATCCCTTTGGCCCCCGGGCGTTTCTCCTCTCTATCGAGGAAGCGCCTCCAGAAGGTGTCAGATGTCATGACCAAGTGGCTGCAGCTCGGCAGCTCCGCTAAGACAATCGGCGCAGTTCTGTCAGACTGCACTGTGTGCCTCATGTTTTCCTTCTCTCTGCCACCTGGCTTGATCAAGTTCCTGAGGGGCGGTGCAGACTCCAACGGTAATGCAAACAGTGCGTACACAGCAAGCCTCCTAAAGTCCTTAACTAAGCTCAATGAAAGCCCAAGGTGCTTTGGGATATTCTGGATGTGGAGGTGCCCCTGCGCATCTCCGACAGCCAGCTTCTGCCCTTCCTTGATGTCACCTGGAGGGATGTCAGGTGTCACCGGTTCGAGTCATCTAAACCGGAAGTGCTCGAACCAAATCTGGGGTCACAGCCATGGTAGCAGAACATCATGGACGTGATCGCCACGGACGCGCCCGTGTCGGAGAGGGACGCCTCGATGTCAGGATCACTAGGTCTGCACTTGGAATGCGGCCGACAGCTCCCACCTTGTGCGACTGATCACTGAAGTCCCAGATGTCAATCCTTAGCAAGGACAAGGTGAGGACGACCCCGGTATGCCCTCGAATCGTGGGTGCTTCCAGCTTCCAATATGCATATACTTTCATTGGGGGGGGGGGGGGGGGTTGTTGAGATCGCCACTTGCCAAGTCTGTTCTGTGACTTCGGGTTTAGGCAGCTTCATGCAGGGGTGAGGCGGCTTAATGCAGGTTCAGGGGTACAGTACCGAGTACATCGCAGACGAGAAAAGGTACGCACGAAGACCTGTGGCGACAACTGGGAGAGATGATCGATCCAGGGCTTCAAACGCCAATTTTTGGGGTTCACATAATCGATGGGTTCACAGTTCCTCGAAGACGCACTGGGGATGAAAACGGGGAGTTGCCAAAGTTAAACGCAAGGATCCTGCAAACACCGAACATGGCGGCAAACAGGTTTGCTGAAGACTTCACAAACCTCTTGATAGAAGGGCATTCGTCTCCAAGCGTTCCTGGAGACCTGCTGCTTGAACCGTGCTGGAATGTCAACTTGAACCGTCCAGCGATGAGCCAAAAGGCCCTGCTGATTTACACACAAATCCAGTTTTTTTTAACTAAGATAAGCCAGGTTTACTACTGTTTGGTTGTAGATGCAGCCATCCAGTAACAGAAGTGCTGATGGACTAGGCAGGGATCCCACCACTGACGAGGCCAAGGAAGACGACCGAAGGCCGCGTGGGGCTCCATACACCTTGGGTTTTGGGTTTAGGGTTTAGGAAGCTGCTCCAAGAGCTTCATGCTCAGAGCTTCACCGCGGGTGTAGTACGTCGAGGTGTAGGAAGACATGAAGAGGTGCTCACTGAGCCCGTCCTGAGAAAGAATTCCACACACAAGCCAGGTAAGCATCACTGCCGCCGCAGCCCACCTGGCCTTGAACAAGAAGAAGGCCCAATCCTGAACACTGGAGCAGCTGAAAGACTCGGTCAACGTCTGCCAACTTTATCTCGGGGCATGTTCGGCATCGTTATCATGGCCTGCCGGCTACTGAGGTGCGCGCTGTGACGCCCAGCAGGATGTCTTCAAAGAAGGGCGATCGCCTCGGGCACGGAAAGTGTATCCTGAAATGGCCGACATTGACAAGCCACAGAAACCCTGTCTTTGCGCGTTGACATGCACCTCTGGAAAACCACACAAGTGTCATTGCTGCAACAAGCATTCAAGCGCATATCACCGTGATTTACTGTGATCGTATATCTGTTTTACCACGGTCGTACAACGAGGCCTAAATCATCCCGATACCCGAAGCTCGGATGCCAGCTCCAGGGAAAGCATAGGTCGGAAGGTTTTGCAGGTGCTGTACATCCTTGGCCAAAATCCGGGCATGCTCAAGTGCAAAACCGTCACCCGCACGTGTGACAGCTACACCCTGCTCCAGACGGCTCCAGACGGCGCGCATTTCCTCCCTAACCCTGTAGATGACATGGCTCATGGTGGGCGCAGTAAGTTTAAGGTTGACGCTTCTTCACAACATCCGCCTTCCGGTCCTGACCGACCGGTACCGCCGGAGCTCAATTTTGGTCCCCGGTCGGACCGCTCGTAGTACAAAAGCACAACCATGACCAAATGACGTGACCAGAAGCGCCTCTTCTCCCCGGGCCGCCCAATCCCCAAGAAGCAATTCCTCGGCTTCGCATGCTTCAGCACGTCAACACACCAAGGAAATCCAAGAGCTTAGTGCCAGTGTTTCCCGTCATCGGAATCTCACTTGGAATGTTTGGGAGCACAGCATAAGCATAAGTGTCAAAAGCTGTCAAAGTTAGGCTAGCGACATGTTCCCAAGCCTTTCAAGTCCATGCCATCAGCTGCCATCTACCATGCACCGGTGCAAGCAAGTGTCGCCCTCTTCTGTGCTGGCATAGAAGTTCGTCAGCAACTGGCAGGACATAGGGAACGGAAAATGATGAGAAATGCAAGCTCGACTTCCAGGAACTTGTATTGAGCATTGCAAACCCAAACTGGGACCTTGGTACCCTTGTCGTCAAAACGATCGTGGCCTCAGCTGAACTATGGACGTGTGGCTAACATGCGCAATCGAAGCACTGCCTGAGGGGTCTGAGCGGCCAGCAGTGCAGAATATGACAGAGACCCATCTCGGTACCACTGTCCTCATGCAGTGCAGACACAGGTTCGCTGCTTGCAAATCTAGGTTCGCAGCTGACTGTTGTAGAGACCTTAGCTTGCTTGTCCCGTCCTGGCGTTGCAGTTGCACGCGGTGGACAGGACGCCAGAGGAAGTCATTGTCATTGATGGCGTCAAGCATGGCCTACACTGGATCTTCGGCCACATCATCACAGGTCGCCGCACTAGAAGATTGCATAATAAAAGCCCGGTGAAGCTCGAACAGTGCTGGCACCTGGAAATCCCAGATCATGACCTGGCAGAGTGAACAAGCTACACGATCCAGAGCCCTGCGCCGGGGCATCCCACCTGGCCATCCCCTGCCACTGTCAGGAAATACCTCAGACAACTCCAAATCGAACGACTTCACAACTGACACAGTGTTGCAGTGTCCCTGGGCACTTGATGGGTGCATCTGGTGGATTCTTCTCGCTGGCTCCCTTGCCACGGCGCTCCACCTCAGGTATTGGAGATTCTCGGCAGCGATAGATGCGATAGCTGAAACAACTTGTCTTTCAAAGGTGTGCGCATGCACGCGTTTCTTTATGTTCATACTTCGTGTGCTGTTCTGAGCCCAATAATCTGCTACTCGTGACAAATCATAGTCGTGCGTCGTACTTCAGCGAGCACTCGGCAAGCTGCGGCTGAGGCAGATAGACACTATTTCCTATGCTCTCTCAATCGGAGCTGGTTGGTACCAGAAGCCTGAACAGATTGTCAACATCATTCGCCTCGATAGTCGCAGGCATGAACTCGATGGCGACCACCGCTTTTCGGTGCGACTCATCGATCATCGACATCTGGCGGTGGGTGACCTGGGCTGCATTCAGCCAGCAATGGCCAGAGCAGGCGAACACCACAAACAGCACGGAACAGATTCGCAGAAGTGTCGGATCCTGCAAAGTCCGCTGGGAAGGCAGCTGTCGGGATGGTGGAGTTCTTCTCCTCCTGGGCAGCTCCCCCATCGTCACTCCCTAGTTCACTCCTTTGCCTCCTTACCGGCCTCCAGGCTCCCACCACGCGCAGCGTGATTCGTCGCCTTTGCGGCCGCAAAACCTTGCGGACAGATCAATGCCCCGTGGCCAATGTCCCGTGGTCAGTGTCTTGCCTTCATCGCTACAAGTTCGGATTGGGATGAGGCACTTTTTGCAGCCAACTGTTACGCAACTTCCCGGCCCGTTGCCGAAAGGGATAGTTAAACATGCAACGCTTTGGCTGACTCCAGGATACGATGTCCATTCTTGGATTTTCTGGAGCAGGTCCTGCCATGACCACCCTTTTCTCGGCCCCCAGCCTAGGTCGGTGGCGGACAGCTTCCAGACCTGTTCATGTGAGCTCATGTGATGACTGTCCACCATGTTTCACGACTTGCCATGTCCTGGAGTAATCTGGAGTAAGGCTGAAGGGTTGAATGTAACACAAAACCCAGCCCGCTTCGTCAGCCCCTAAAAGACATGTGATTTCTGAGCCGAGTACAGCAATCTGTCCATTGCCAAGGCCTCGGAAGCTTCCACTGGCGTGTCAAGTGCTGGGGTAGCAACTTTCGAGTCAATAAAGGAGATCAAGGCACAACCATGAGTCGTGCCGACTACAGTAATGTCGTACCCTGATTAGTCTGGACCCCCTCAATAATGAAAAGTTTTCCAAAAATCATTCAGGAGACCCAAATTCGATTGCCCCCCCACAATAAAGTAAAGTTTTTCGGGCATGGGTTTCGGAACAGCTCTCTGAGCTTACCTGAGCTTAATTATGTAAGAGGAGAGGGAAAGGAAGAGGAGAGGAAGAGGAGAGGGAAGAGGAGCGAAGAGGAAATGAAGAGGAGCCGGTGGGGGGGGGGGGGGGGGCCCGGGGCCGAAAATTAGTTTGGGGGGGTCCCTTTTTTTTTACACTATTACGGGGGTGGATTTAGTTTGGGGCCCTCACACTAATCAGGATACCACATTACCGCAACTCACTGTGATTCGTGTCGACTCTTGGCAGTCGTGGTAGACAAAACTCCTGAGGCTGCATCCACCGATGAGAAAGGTCGGGTCGCTAGGATAAAACTTGAAGACTGTGACCTGCCAGCAGCGCTGAGCCAGGTCAAAGCGCGCGAAAGAAGGGGGACTCCCTCATGATCCAAATCAGAGTCCGCAAGCGCCTCCCAAGGAGACTCCAGGATGGCGTGCGGGCTGAGGGAATCTGCAAAAGACCAGACCAACACGGTGCTGACCTCGGCGCTTGTTTGTTGCTTGCACAGTTTCGGGTGAGAATGAAAACCTTGCACACGGGATTTCTGGTTTTAAACTGGTTTTTGCTTCAGAAGTATTTGCTGCCGAATTTCGATGTCATTCACTCAACCCTCACATTCACAAAAACATCGGGGCGCGGCAGAAGCCTTGCCCGAGCTCTCCAAGCGGTCGACGAATGCCAGGTTCCTGACACCGATTAAAAGACAGCACGGGTACAAGTAGAGCTTGTGGACGAGAGTCTTGCAGGCGGACAGCACAAGATTTCATGAACCAAGCTCCTGCCCTCCCTCGGACTCCAGCGGAGGCTTTACAAAAATTTCGGGACAGCCAGAAGAGGTCTTGAACGAACTTAAGCGCCATCTACAAAGCGCCTACACAGCACCCTTCGCAGCATGAAGCCGGGGTCTCGGCTCGCAGCACGAGGACACGACCATGTCAGAGGAGCCCGGGACCCACTCGACCCATTCCTCAGTCTCTTGAAAAAACCCTCTCACTCTTGAAATCTCTTGACAGTCGTCAGCGGGCAGATGCTGCGGGAACTAAACCGAAGGCATTCCACCTCCTGAACCCTACGGAGTCACTGCATGGTCGTCATAAGATCGTCATAAGCTACCGTCCTGAGCTTCGGTCGATACGCTTTCCCTTTGTGTAGGTCACATCGTGGAAGTTCGGATGCTCCTTCACGGGTTCAACGCAAGCCGTCACTCTTGGCAATCGAGAGTTCGGAAAACTTCCCGGCAATGTTTGCCTAGAGTGCCAGCGCTCTGCGGCTCTACGACGATGGCACACGCACAACCGCGTCCAGCACTGCTGCAGGTTGTGCGGAATTCGTTCGTGGTGTGTTTCGCTGAGGCTGCTTAGTCTTGCATTCCTGCGTGCATTTGGATCCCAGATCCCGCGGTAACATAGGCGGGATCAGGGAAGCTGTGTGATGGCAACAAGGCGACTGAGCAAGATAAGCGCTTTCTACTCCAGTTAACACTGGCCGCAGCCGGCATCTTTCGCTGTCGGTCGCAGTATCAGCTCTGCCCTCTGCAAAGCCTGGCCTTGAGCTTGGAGTGGGTCTTCGTGACTGCGCCGGCCTCCTCCTCTCCCAAGTGTGCAAACCTGATGCAACTGCTGTCAAAAGTCGCTGTTGAATGCCCGCATTCAACAGAAACATAGCACCGGCCCCGTGAGCCCCATGCTCTTCTTGGAAGATGTCGACCGTCTCATTCGTCTGCAGCGCCTCCTCGACTCCCACACCTTGGTGTAATCTGTGATGTTGTGGTGCGGGGGGGGGGCATGGCTTCGTACGCACCTGAATCTCAGCACCGCTCCGAACAACGCCCCAGAAAGGCGAAGCGCTCTCTCTAAGGCCAAAACTGACCGTGGAGAGGAACATGGAGAGCTCATCTACCTGGCACCGGTGCGGAGCTTTCAAAAAGCTCAGTGGGGCTCCATACGACATACGACATACGACAGAACGGTAAAACTGTTGATGACTTTGCGCTACTGTTGCCCTTCTTCAGATGCTAGCCCTGGCTCCGGCCTACTTCAATCCCGCCCCACATTTGAAGTCTAGTGAAAGGTGGGAGGGCAGCGGCTTGTTCGTTGCGTTGCTTGTCACAGAGCCTTGTCATAGCCAAGGTCAGCGCCCTTCTGCAGGAAGTCCCCAGGACTGAGCAGATGAACAAACACACTAAGATTATCGCATTATGAACGCAGCCCTAAATCTAGAAGTCGACCTTACCACTGCAATCCTCTCAAGTCACGGCTTGCGCAAAGTCAGTTCCAAGTGTTCCATCCAGGCTTCCGGCATGTACTGCGTGGACTTGTTGACAGGCCGGAACCTCGAAAGGCATCGACCATTTCTAAAAACATGTGCGAACTACGGCCCTGGCTATCCTGCAGGCATCCCTGCACCCCCAACCCCCACGCGCAAACTTCTGCAACATCTGGCATTGCTCATGAGGTCATATTAGGTCCATGCCAAGTAGTTTGACAGGAGCACGTTCTCGTCTCCTTCACAGCCTGAAAGCAGCTGTGGCAGATGCCTCAACACCTGCCCAATCCTGCCCAGCACAGGTCATCAGATCGAGCCTGGATTCCGATCTCCAGCTCTTTCTTTGGAGGAGCGAAATTATGGTCCTGCAGAAAGTAGCAATGCAATGCATTTTGGTGGTCTGCGCTGGCAAGTGCTCGCTCAGGGTCCTTCTGCGGTCTGCAGTTCTGGTTGTTTTCACCTTCCGCGAGAATTCGAGCAGTTCAGCATTGGCATTGCACCACATGCGTCCACGTTAAGCCAGCCCTGCCCTTGCTCTGCAGCACAAGTTCAGGAACAAGTCCCAGGGCATGTCTCGACATGTCTCGACCATGACCTGAGTCACTGAACTTCGTCGACTTCCCAAACTGGCTGCGAGGCCTGGTCAGGTCCAAGGGCCATAGGGAGCTGTGCTGGCGTGCGGGATGTCGGAAAAAAACGCTTTTCCCGAAAAGCCACTTTTCTCGAAAAGCCACAAAAAGTGACTTTTCTCGCGGCGTTGGAGCGCGCGGTGTCCCTGAAAAGCCACTTTTCCCGAAAAGCCACTTTTCTCGAAAAGCCACTTTTCTCGAAAAGCCACTTTTTGCGAAAGGTGACTTTTCTCGCGGCGTTGGAGCGCGCAGTGTCCGCGAAAAGCCACTTTTCCCGAAAAGCGACTTTTCTCGAAAAGCCACTTTTTGCGAAAAGTGACGTTTCTCGCGGCGTTGGAGCGCGCGGTGTCCGCGAAAAGCCACTTTTCCCGAAAAGGGACTTTTCTCGAAAAGCCACTTTTTGCGAAAAGTGACGTTGCTCGCGGCGTTGGAGCGCGCGGTGTCCGCGAAAAGCCACTTTTCCCGAAAAGCGACTTTTCTCCACCAAAAGCCACTTTAACTTTTCGCGAAAAGTGACTTTTCTCGTGGCGCTGTGCGCGCATTGTTTTCGACAATAAATTGTTCTTGAAAAGTCACCGCTGCAGCTTCTTGCCAAGAAGTGATCGTTCTTGTGGTGCTGCGCGTGCAGCATCTTTGAAAGGCACTCGTGCTGACATTGCTTTTGTTTCCTAACAAGACGGGTTTTGCGAAAGTTGTTCTTTGTCACGCCGCTATGCTCTGCACAAAACAGGGCTTTTTGAAAAGCTACTTTTCTGTAAAGGCTACCTTTTGTGAAAAGCCATGACCTTTTTCTTTGCGAACATATTGTTCTCATGGCGTTGTGTCAGTTAGGTAGTGTCATTGAAAGCTGGTAAACGTAGTGTGTCCGTTGCGTGTGGATTCAGTTTGTGCAGCCACTTCTCTCGCTGTCGTGGACAGCTGCGCGATAGCCATACGCAGCACTTCCTTGTGGGGCGCTCTGGGATTTGGGTTTAGGGTTTGGTTTAGGGTTCAGGGTTTGGGTTTTAAGTTTAGAGTCTAGAGGGTTTGGGGCTTCTGCATGCACAGCATATCTTTGATTGGGGTGTGCAGATATAGAACGTTCTGGACAGGCAAGGTGTACTCTCGTCTAAGAATTTTGAGGGCGTAGTGCTCTTAATCTTCGACAGCGATTCTGTCAGGCTGCGAACCCCGCTACTAGAACTCCACAATCCCCCAGCCCTCCTATGATTATCAAGGCAGGTATAAATGCCGCCGTGGGTGCCTTGCCTTGCCATAGCTCAGAGAAGCGGAAAAGGGAGGTGTAGAGGTTCTCTTGGTTGCTTCAATGGTGGGCGCCGTGCCACTTAGTGCCGACGCATTGCATGTTCTCCAGAAGCTATTTTTCCTGAAAAGCTACTTCTTCCGAAAAGCCACCAGTTCTCGAAAAGCCACTCTTCGACAAACGCCACTTGCATCGAAAAGTTGTGTTGTTTTTTTTCTGTAAAAGTGCCTTTTCTCACAGCGTTGGGGCGTGCAGCGTTTGTAACAACACGTCTCTGGAAAAGCTACTTTCAGAAAAAGCGTTGCCTGCGGCGTATTCCGGAATGCCACTTTTCTTGAGCAACACTTTTTTGAGTAAAGTGACTTCTCTCGCGGCGTGGGGGCGCACGCGTCTTAGAAAAGCCACATTTCTCGAAAAGCCACTTTGCGAATAGTGACTTTCCTCGCGACGTTGGCACGCGCAGCGTCCGCGAAAAGCCGCTTTTCTCGAAAAGCCACTTTTCTCGAAAAGCCACTTTTTGCGAAAAGCACCTTTTCTGGTCGGTTTTCCCGCTAATCTGGAAGACGCACCGTGTGACAGCTTAGATAGGAAGCTCCCACACGAAGCCACAGCAAAACAACGTGCATAAATGAAAAAGCATCCGGCCTTGTGATCATGATCTCAAGGAGTGGGCGGCTATTGTGCACAGTGAAGGTACGAACCTGAAGGCTGGTTCATGTGACTTCGCACAGCGTAAAAGGCAAAGTTTGCTGGCCTCGTCATGGGTCGCCTCCGCCGTTTCCGATTTCCACTCTTTGCACTCCTTTAGATAGTCACGCTTGGAGCCTTTGCAATTGCTAGGATCTCTATTTTGTCTCTTCACAAGCTGCTAAACACAGTGTCCTTGGGGAGATCACGAATGACGATGTTCTCTTCCGGCTCATCCTGACCATCGTGCCCTTGTGCTCACTCACACACTCACTCGCTCACTCACTCACACACTCTTTTACCCTTTGTGATTGATGCAATGCAATGTGACCCAAGGAAAAGGCCGACTGCGGCAACAAAGAGACCATGCATGCAGCCGGTCATGAACCTGGATGAAGTTACACATGAGGATGTGACAACAAGCCATGGACATGGACCTCTAGGCACAAACCAAGCGAAAAGCCGCCCGAGCATGGCAGTCTACAGTACAGACCAAGCAATATGACACTTTTTCTGGCTACTTTCTGCGGCTTGTGAAATCATAGTGTCAGGTACAGTGCAACTACTGGCACGTGTACGCCACTGCTTGGAGTGATGTGTGTGTGCGACGCTGGTATACCTGACCTCTATAACCAAGGTCTGACCTCACAGGGTTGAACCTACAGCGCTCTCAGCCTGTTCACATCCAGTTTCTAAGCTAACCTGTTCAGCCTCAATGGCAGCTTCTTCCCCCGGCGCATTCTCTTTCTCGAACTCGTCCATGACGCCCTCGAAGCCAGAAAGCATCAAAAAGTGCATCTATCGGAATCTTTTTAACAACGAACTATCAGACTCAGACTACACGTTTAAGGAGTCTGCAAATCGCCATGAGCAGACTACATTGTGCTGCTGGGGTGCAAGCTCCGCATCCGAAAGTACCCTACACTTATCGAAGAATGGGCACAGCTTGCTTACACCTCTTATCGGTCCCTGGATTGTGCGGGCCAGACCTGGCGGAGCTCGGCTAGTCTCTCCATCTCCCGCTTGTAGGCCTCCTCGGTGGTGCACCTGTTTTTCAATCCAACACGATCCGTAGTGCAGAGAAAAAGGACGGCAGCAAGTCGGCAGCAAGAGGCTGGCAGGATCTGCAAGGCTGCTTTTGGGGGTTCACAGGTGGCCAATTCTGCCAGGCGACCATACCAGCTTTTCGCCATACGCCTCAGCGGCACACCGGATCAACTCAAGCAGAGCCTTCCCCAATTCGACCATATCCTACCGTGCGCCCTAAAGCTTGCAACAAGGCACTTTGGTAGGGTCGAAAAGGACGAGAATGTCCTCTAGCGGATATTTCTCGAAGTCCTCGAAGCAAGCGCGTGGCTCAACCAGGATCCGTAAACAACCTGCCTGGACTGCGCAACATGCTTGCGGGAGAACAGGCTGACCCCAGAAATGAAATTGCGAGGTAAGCCCTACAAGAGGCCATCATTGGCAGAGCTTCCGTTCAGTTTCGGCACCTCCCAGCATCTCCAACGGCGAGCTCTCGCCGTTGGGGATGCAATCCATGTATCAGTCCGGCGACATAACACAGTTTGGTCATAGTGCCAAGGCGTTCGTGAACCCCAAATCCAACCCCACGACATAGGACCACCGGGCCACAACCAAGCACGCACTGCCTCGGGAGCGCTCTTCGCCTGCAGCCTGCATACTTACTTTTCTATCTCCTTTTTACGGCTCAAAACAGCCCCAGGCCCTTGGCTAGACGAGCTTAAAACTTAAAACCCCGCCATCTTGAATGCCTGTGTCTGTGTTTGCTTCGGCGGCCAAGGGTGGACGGGGAGATCGGGGCATGTTGACATATCGGAGCAGTTTTGGCCCAGCTCTGTGGTGGCGGGGGGAGGCGGGGGGAGGCTCTTGACTGTCCGGGGAATGCTAAGAGAGCCTCGGTAAACAAGAACGATCGCCAGAGCTCCCGTGCACCTTGCTTTCGCGACCTTTTGGTATCAAAGCAGAAACAAGCACAGCGTACGATCTCGTTCAGTACCTTCACGGCTTCAGCATGAGTTCGCCTGGTTCCAGCTCATTCAACGGCAACGAACGCCAGAAATTGCCAATGCTTTGTCAGCTGCCAGCTGTCCTTCTGCTGAGGGTGGTAGTCTGAAGCAAAGCCCATTCTTTTCACCTGCGCGCATGTTTCACGTGTGTTCCCTTTGGACTGAGGCGAAGAATGGCGAGGACAACACGCCGGCTAGAACAATACACCAGGGTATTCGCAGGACTGCTGTTCACGAAGCCATATGAAGCCTTTAACGCTTGCATGTGATGCAAGGGCTGCAAGGGGGCATTCCTAGGCCTGGTCCAGCACCTCAGACTTTGCGAGGTGAAAGAAGGGCTTCAACCTCGGGACAAGCTGCTTATCCGTGATACTCTGTGATTGTACCAACGGCAGGTTGCTTGTACCCTACACTACCTTTTCATGCTCTGCGACACTGGAGCTGCGAAGCTTGCCACTGTAAGCCGTGGCTTTGGATGTGCGATGTTGGTGATCGTCTTCATTCTCCTTTTTCAGACACGACTTTGCTCATCAGTGCTGGCGGTACGCGCTGCCACCAACCGCCAGATTCGCAGCGAGTGTTCTAATCTTGTCGAAGGTCAAGATCCATCTTGTCCGGAGATGGGGCACCGCACCAGGGAATGGCACTGCGAACTCTGTATGCGGCGGAGAGGCAAGCGGCGGAGAGGCAAGAAAGTCACAAACAAAGCATGCCAGTGGAGCACACAGGAGAAGCCAGGCGTGTGGTGCCTTCCCGTTGACGGCTTTCGTGCGCCTTTCATAATTCCAAAAAATCATGTGCGCAACCAGGGAGGGCCCTTGGAGCCAATGCCGAAAATGTGGAAGCTTCTCGTCCGCGAGTACGGATATGTGACAGGAACAGCAGCAGTTACAGCACTGCAACATGCTTTTCAAAACTGCAACCCTGGCGGCTTCGATTTACATCCAGATGTCCAGCACAGAGGCTCCACGTGGTTTGGGAATAGATTATATACAGTCCTCGCCACACTTTTCCGAATAATGATGCTTTGGCTGTGCTGAGGCGCTGGCTTCATCCCAGAAAAGGGCACATCGTCGGATTCGTCAACTTCGTCGACCAAGCCGAGGGATAAATAGTTCTTAGCCTTTGCCCACAGCTCGGGAGTTGCGCGCGTGTGCGCGTGTGTGTGTGTGTGTGTGTGCCCGCGAGAGAGGGAAGCACGTGGCCGGCAACAAACTAACGAGCGCACTCCTTTATCACCTGCTGCACTGTGCAGGGGCGCTCCATGGCTGGAGCACTGTACATCCATCGGTCGCAATCCCCTCGAGCGGAGAAAAATGTATGTCGGAAGCTTTGCCCGTGAGCGTTAACTGACCGATGCCACAACAAGCCAAGCCACGCAAGAGCACAGCAAACTCGCTCCCCCTGGCTCCGTGAGCGTTCTCACCTTGAAGTGAGACGTCATGCAGCTTGAAGGGAAACCGTAGTCGACTCACTGTGTTCGTGCATCAGCTTGATGTGCATCTCTTTGATGTGGTCCTTGCATGAGGAACAGCTCACGCGCCCGTGCTGAGAGGCCCACTTGCTACCGCCTCTGTCCTTCCTACTGCCTGCGGTCCTGAATGGTCTTGAGTAAGACCGTCTTCCCTCACGCTGACATTCTACATTTCGGCTTGCGCCAACTGCGCAGGCTCCCTAATAGTGTGCACACGTCATTGCACTGCGACCTTGCTGTGTTTCTTGTCCATGCAAGCAGCCACACTCGAAAGGCCACGCAAAGTAGCCAATACTAGCAAGCAAAGAAGGCCGAGCAGCTGGGTGGAGACGCTTCCACCTCAAGGCCAGGATCAGCCATGAGCATAGCCACAGGGCCTGGACTAGGCCCCAGAGTGCGGGGGGTCCCAGGTTGCCGTACGCCCAGCCCACCAGCTGTCCTCTGAAGGGGCTCTGAAGGATTTGAGTCTCTGAATGTCTGTGCAGCTACCTCTCATGCTGCGCGGAGTCTCTGCTTCATGAGAGGACATGTAAACGTCCTGAAATCGCATTGGCCAGGGAGCCATTGCTCTGCAGAACCGAGAAATACAGTCCGGCGTTGCCCTTCAAGGGTATTGGCCGCATTGGCCACATCCCAACTTCACTTGCACTACTTGCTTGTGTTGACCCTGGCATGACACAGGCTAATATGGCAAAGGGCTAGTATGGCAACGGGCAACGGCTAATGAGCGGTTAAGGGCATCCAGAGGCATCTAAAGCCTTTCTCGCTATCTTGTGCAGGAAAAGGCCAAGCCCCACCTTGCCAATAAGCTTGGAGTAAAGCGATTGCGTTGGTGGCATGCTGGTTCCGAAATCGTACCAAACCAAAGTAGAGATAAGAGTTGGCACCGGCAGTGCGGAGATGCCAAAGCCAGATATGAGTGCGTAAGCCAGCAGCCCTGTATGGGAGATGAAGGCCCAGATGGACATCAGGTTTCGGTCACTGACCCGTCGGCTCAGTCTTTGCAGTATCGCCGTAGAAACGATGGACTCCACGGAGAGCGCCACAAAAATGTAGGAATTATGCAGCTGTGTCCATCCGTAGTCCCGGCTGGTGATGACCGGCACGGCGAAATTGATGGCCATCAGGGTGAATGCGTTTCGGAAGTTGAGAACAAAGATGAACCAGGCCCCAGTTTGGCGAAGCCAAGGGTCCACCCAGAGCCGCATGTATGGAAATAGTCCCCCAAGAGTCAAGCACTGGCCCACCTCAGCTCAAGAAGACACTCCTTCCCCAAACCCCAACAGCAACAAAGCCTCAAACCGAAATCGTGGACTGACTCTTTCGACATGTTTTCAACGCTCTCTTCTGTGTGTATGGCAGCGATGGGTGGGGCGGGGAGGTGGGTGCCAGGGAACTTTTCCCAGCGGCGGCGGCCGGGCTGCAGGGTGCCGCTCCGGCTCGCGGAAGGTGCGCAGGACGAAGAGCAGAGCCAGCAGCTGCAGCAGCATCCTCAGCGGTAGGGCCGCTGGAAAAAAAGGACCAGGTCACTTGCGGGCTCTTTGAATTCCAAGTACCTGTAGGTAGCTCATCATGACAATGCCAGCAGACTTAGAGAATATGATATACAGGGAGTGGTAGGAGCATCAGGAGCAGCAACTTAACCCGACACCACGATCACCAGCACTACCTTCAGGCAAGCTTCAGGAAGTAGCCAACCCACGTGAAGTTGTCAAAGACCTCGAAAACATTCCAGCAAACAACAAGATGACGATACATGTGGCCTTGAGAGCCTTGTTGAGGATCCGAAAAAACTACAGCCCTCTGTGATGACGGTGCCACGGTGCCAGGGTCACGGGCCCAAGGTGGAGCTTGAAGTGAGGCAGCCACACGACGAAGAGGTTCAGGGCGGGACCAGCCAGGGTCAGTGTGTTGGATACAAGCACGAAGATGCTCATGTAGTGGGTCCGGTCCGCTAGAGAAGTGTGCCGAGCGATGAACCTTAGAAGCTCTGGACTCTGGACAGCATCTCGAGACTCTTAGACATTAGAATTCATTAGAGCCCATTTTCGACATATTCGACACTTGTAGTCAGGGAACGCTTGGGTCGCAACAGACTGGGCAGCTGTTGCACCCAGGGCAGCTCTGGAAGCCAGAAGAGCCCACAAGCCCAGTGACGGGGCGGCTGCATACATAAAGCTGGCGATCATTGAAGCCCTCGGGGCGAGTTGCAGTCAGCTTAATGGCTGTTTGGAGCGGCATCCTAATGCTGGAACCCCGCAGTTACTGAGGCACGGGCCCTAAGCTGACGGAGAAGACCTCCTTGTATGGTCTGCGGTCCACCCAGAAGCCAAACAAGCCCATGCAAAGAAGACGTGCCATCGCGAAGCATCCCGCACACAGCCTTGACTAAAGCGAGCGCTGTAAATGGCATGGCTGTATCAGCTGGCACATCATATGAAAAGTCGCATCAGCCTCATACAACTGAAGCTGAGAACGCAACACACAAGCACCTGCCAAGCAGCCCGTACATGTGCTTGTCACCACCGAGAGACTCCACATAACCAAGCAGGGAAGGCACAGACAATGTACCTTGCTGCCAGCTAATGCAGTGTGGCTCTGCCGCTACGCACCATGCACTGCGCTGACCTATCTTGCCTGCCTTCCACGGCGATCAGCAGTCCGATGCACCAGGCGGAGAGCATATTCATCATGGAAGTCGTCTCTGGGTCCAGTTCAGCATCGCCCGAGAGCGACCGTGATAGCAGCCGAGGCCGTCCTCCCAGCTTTGAGCCGCAGCGTTCGAGTCGGTATGTACAAGCAACAGCGCCCAAGGTGTGTCCAAGACCAGTGTCCTGCAACTTCGGCGGCACCATCCTCTGCCCAGAAAGAAAGTTACAGCCCGGATGCTAGTTCCAGCGTATGCAGAGCGTATGCAGAGCGTATGCAGAGCGTATGCAGAGCGTATGCAGAGCGTATGCAGAGCGTATGCAGAGCGTATGCAGAGCGTATGCAGAGCGTATGCAGAGCGTATGCAGAGCGTATGCAGAGCGTATGCAGAGCGTATGCAGAGCGTATGCAGAGCGTGCAGAGCGTATGCAGAGCGTATGCAGAGCGTATGCAGAGCGTATGCAGAGCGTATGCAGAGCGTATGCAGAGCGTATGCAGAGCGTATGCAGAGCGTATGCAGAGCGTATGCAGAGCGTATGCAGAGCGTATGCAGAGCGTATGCAGAGCGTATGCAACTGACACAATGCCACAGTGCCCCCAAGGGTCTGGATGGTGATCCGAAGCTTGCCGTGCTTCCATGCCAGGCGACGCCAACCATTCGGAACCAATTCGATCTTTGGACTCTTTGCCCTCGAGCTTGTTGCTCGGCCAGTTTAGCCCCTAGCAAAGCATTTAGCGAGTTGAACTGATACGCAAGCAAGCAGTGGGCAGTGGGCACTCCCATATCCGGTACAGGGGACACACAGATTTAGTGTGTTTCTATGTGCATATCGTTGTGGAACCCAACTCGACACAGAAGATGCAGAGCCACCACGCTGCAATTGAACTCAGTTGAAGCACTTCCATTGTTGATGCTGAAGCACATGGGGCAGTTGCATTCGTGACTGTGACTGGGCAGGCAGAACTCTGCTGCAGCTTCACACTCTGTTCAACCTCGAAGCGATTAAGGCGTGTTGGAACAGCAAGACCCTCGCGGGGCTCTGCCCCCGGTGCTGTGGCATGGGCCTAGATTAGCCTAGCCTATATGCATCAAATTTGCAGCTGCTGTAAACACAAGGTCATGCCACGACACCGTGGCTGCGTTCCAGGATCTTGTATGTACAGAACGCGGCGCAGGCGACAGCCAGGCGAAGCGTGCCCCCTGCATCCTCTGCGTTGGATGTGCTTGCCCGCCCTTCCACGGCAGATCCCTGTTAGATCAGATCCAGCTGGCAGAGCCAATCGGGCTGTAGCAGCATCGGCAGCAGGTCTTCTGCGCAGGCGCTAGCAGAGATCACACTGATTTCGTGGTGCACATGCTGGTCGGGTTCACGAGTTCACGACATTTCACCAATGTCTTCCTCAAATTCCCTCCGAACGGCCCGCCTCATGCACCAATGCCAGCCACGGAGTTTCGCAGGCTGGCGATCAGTTCTGAGGACACGCCTCCCTTCAAGGTGCACATTCAAGGATAACAGGCAATGAGATCACAGATGGGGGGGCCAGTATCCAGTATCCTTGAAAGCTTCCACAAACCGGACCAGAATGCGATGACGTGTCATCGTGTCTGCAAGGGCACTCGAAACTTGAGAAAATGTGGCTGCTGCTTCCAATACTGGCACTGGGTCGTCTCAAGATGCCCGCTCCCCATGCCTGGCGCTCGTGCAGGAAGTCTGCAATACATTCCTGAGCAGCTTGAAGTTCCCACCCCCATACCCACGAGGAGTAACCGCGGTGAAAGAAAGGTCTGCAGCCGCGGTTCAGCCAGGCCCTCGCCGGACGCCTGTGCCGGCAGGCATGGTGTTCGACAAAAAAACACGAAGTTGCCATGAATCGGAACAATTAGAGGCCCCCACCTCGGCAAGCGCTTCCTGCACAGGACAGCTTTGTTGCAATCTCACTCACTGAGCCTTGCGAATGTCCTTGTAGCGAGCCATCAGCACTTCTGGCTCCGACAACTC